CCTCGGCCCACAGCTGGCAGTGGCAGGAGATGGTGTGGCAGGCTGCCAGGCTTGCCGAGACATGCAGGACCCCTCGTAGACGGATGCACAGGGTTCAAGGCATTGGCTCGGGCCCTCAGCACAGGTGGGATGCACCCGAAAATGCATTTTGCGTCGGAGCAAGGTATGACAACTAAGTATACTACAAATGACCACCCCGGGGGTCCCCTGCCACCCACAGTCATACTAACTCTTGGTTAGCACTTCTAGAGAAAATTACCTATAGAGAAATGCTTAATCAAAAAAAAAAAAAAAATCACAGGCTCCCAATGAGATTGCAGAGAATTCTCAGCCAATAGTTGTTGCAGAGATAATTGTTCCGAATCTATCAATAAAGCTGAGCTGCCCCTTCATTGACTGCAAACACCAATTTCTTTCACCCAGGATTATAAGTTGGTGTTCACAGGCTCACTCCTGCCATTACTGTGATAAACAGTTTAAACCACAACAGGGTCTGACATGTAGATCAATTCTGGGTCCATAAAGAATCTACACAAGAGGTTCCAGGACAGGAATTTACAGCCACCAGTTTTTATTCTCTCTTGCTGCAAAAATTACTTCTGTCAAACACTTAGGAGAGTGAGGAAAAATGTAAAAAAATTAATTTTTCATGTACTACTGGAACAGCCTTTTTCAACGCAGAAGCTCAAGATGAATATGTTTCTGCATTTAAAAAATTACGCTGAGCAGCATGTGGTGCTTAGTCGGAGTGGGACCCAATCCTCTGTGCTGCAAGCCGGCAGACAGCAATCTGAAACCCTGAGCTGAGCTGTCTGCATTTCCTCTAAGGGCAGATGCGGGTCTCACGTTAGCAACGCCAAATTATATTAGACATTTAATTTTAAACCTCAGGTACTTAAATGTAAAACCTTACAGCAGTAATAGTCATAAAGCAGTGGGGCATTGCATTTCACAGAATGGATTCTTCTTTTTTCCCCCCTTAATTTAACCAGAACCTCCTGTTTTGTAGTTTCACACACCACAAAGTCATCTATCTAATTAGGAGTTGCTCACAGCTGCTTAAAAGACAGAAACCCCCAGGGTACCTGTGCGTCTAAAGGGGAAGACTTTACAGAGTTCTCTGGAGCCAAAGTCTTAATTTAGTGTGGACAAGGGGGCAGAGAAAAATGGAACCCCAATGTCATGTATTATCATGTACAATAAAAATGTGGGACAATGGGAAGGCATATTCACCAACACATGGGCATCTGGATTCACAAGCTGCTTACTTCTCCCTGTCCCTGCTGCTAGCACAGTGTAAGCTTTTTTATGACCCTGACATCCAAACCAGAGACTGGGGTGAGGGAGAGAAAATGATTAAAAAAAAAAAAAAAAAAAAAAAAAAAAAAAAAAAAAAAAAAAAAAAAAAAAAAAAAAAAAAAAAAAGAGGGTGGAGTTTGTATTTCACTGCGACGTAAAGAGAAAAAACACGCAGAGAGCTCTTAATCATTGTTTGTTTCTTTTGTGATTATTTTCCAAGCATGGCAGGGAACGTGGATGCCCAAGTTGAGGTCTTGAAATCCATTCATAAATGTGTTTTCTTAAAGTCAGCCGTCAGATCCTGTGCCCTGATTTTATTAACAACTGCTCGGCATCTGGCAGGATGGTACTAACGGGAGGGAAGCCAGGACATTACTCTGGCCGCACGCAGACAGGGCTACTCCACATGCAGGTGGACCCGAATGGCCCAGGATTCTTGACAACATGCATTCTGATCCTGGAAGTCTTGCTGGAGCCTGGGACTATGCATTTCTGGGCAACTCCCAGGGGCTGTCAGACACCAGTCAGTCTGTGGACCACACTCAGAAGCAAGGATTTCGAGCAGTGGTTCTCAAACTTCAGCATGCAGCATCATTCCATGGAGGGTTTGCTGGCACAAAGGTTGCTGGGTCCTACCCCTGAGTTTCAGATTCAGTGGGTCTGGGATGGGACTTACGAATCTGCATTTCTAACCAGTTCCCAGGGGATGTTGCCACCACAGGTCTGGGAAGCATATCTTGAGAAGTGCTGACGTAGACTCTAAGGTCTAGAATCAGGCCACCTGGGTTCACATCCCAGCCTTACCAGGACATGACTCTGGACAAGCAATATTGAACCCTTCTGTACCAGAGTCTCCCCACCTGGAAAATGGAGCTAAGAGCAGTATCCACTCCACGGGGATCAAATGCGATGATCCATATGAAGCCCTCAAGAAATATTAGCTCTTGTTATCATTACTACTGTTTCTCTTTTCAATCATATCTTGGGTGCGACATACCATCCATCCTTCGAAAATATAGGCGTGAAGGAAGATGCCTGAGAAACTATAGGAATCTTACTTCTGTACAACATTCCGTTTTCTCTCTGGATCTTTGCTATTTAAAATGTCAGCTGTCAGCCTTAAAATAAGATGCTAATTAATTGTGCGATTCTTAATACTCATCTCTCTCCTTCCTGTCTGTCCTCATTTTCCTGCATCCCAACTAATACCTTGCCCTTCCTTGTGGCCCCTCGACTGTTGCATGTTGCCCTTTCCTCCTCTTCAAGTCTCTGTCCAAACTGCCTTCATGTTTAGAACAACTTTCTGCTGTGGTTTTGCACACACACAATCCATCTGGTTCTTGAAACGCTGCTCAAGTTTCAGTCTCTTTGGGAAGTTTTCCTTGATTAACTCTCTCCATCCTTAATCTACCTGCCCAATTTCGCCCCGGGCTTTCTCCATCCACATCCCGCAGTAGGCTCGTACCAGGGCACAGACTGGTTTCTCATCTCCTGTGTTCACGGTTCAAGCTCTGGGGCATCAGGAAGCCTAGCTAGTCTTTCACAAACACACAATGTGATAGAACAATGGACACCCGGGGCGTTGGCATGTGAGAAATCGATTTGTAAATTTAAAAACAGCGTTCACCCGTAGGCAACCTCAGTCATACGGGTACTTTATAAATATGCCCGTACCGACCAATACGATCACGTTCCGTGGGAAGAGGCTTCTCAGCAAATCAAGGGTCTGGCACTCGCGGAGTCCCTGATGTGACGGTGTGGAGGTGCCTTGGCATACACACGTGACCGGATGCAAAGAGCTCTTGCGTAGAGGGAAAGTTAGCTGGGGAGTCTTTATCAAAGAGATAATTATGCAAATGGAATATGTGTCAAGTGCAGATTTTAGGTTAAAAGGCTGCTTCCAATGCTTTTTCTGGAGGAATATTCTGAGTGTGGGGGGAGGCAAAGACTTGGGGTGAGGCTCTTGCTTAGGAACTTGTTGTTCTATCCCCTCCCCAAATATAACTCCTATGGCGCAGAAGCAACAGAACCTAGAGACCGCCGCCCTAATCAGGCTGTGGTGGTGACTCACCAGTTCTCACTCACAAGAGGAAAGCTTTAGAAAGGGTGCTGCCAGGCAAAGCAGTGTGTGCACCAGGCCGGGAAGAGCCAGCTGATGACTCCTGCCCGCCTCGAACGTGGGAGCGCACCTTCTCAGAGGGTGCCGGAATGAACCCACTCAGACAGTAAGGGTAATGCTCGTTGAAAAACGGCTGCGTTTCCAAGTATTTGATAATGCAATTAAGCATGTGAACTGCTTGCCCCCCTAAAAAAAGTAACCATGGCAACCACAGCAGATGCTCAGTGACAGAAGCCAGAGATGGACACTGCCCTACATACCTACTGACCACGCAAGGGAGAGAAGAACACACCCATTTAAGATTAGAACACAGAGGCTTGCAGAGGTAAGGCCGCCTGCCAAGGCCACCTGCTCGGCAGGTCGGGGGCCTCTGCCTGGAGCACGGACGTGTCTGCTGAGAAGGCCTGCCGGGGCACCTGACGACTAGGAACGCACAGCTGTCGCGTTACAAGGGAATAAAGTGTACGCGGTTAATTTATAATGACTTTAGCCTCTTCATTGAGCGTCTTAAGGTGCTGTCATGATTTCAGACGAAAGGTGGAAAGCCCAGTCCCTGAAGAGGCTGGAGGTAGACGTTCGTTCTCTACCGAAGCATCCTGTTTTGTCTGAGGAAGGAGCTGGGAGCGTGCTGGGCACAGGGCAATACCGTCCGTACGCCCCAAGCCCGCGCCGCTATGGCACCCGCTGGAGCTGCCTTTCGAGACCTCACTCCTCCTCCTTGGTTTGGAGATGCCTTTTCTTTAAGGCCTCTGCTCAGCGGCGTCTGATCGAGGAGCATGGAGTAACTAGAAATAAGATGATGTTTATCCAAAGCACACGTCCTGCTGCAGCAGCTGCTGGGTCTACAGGGAAGACCTGATGCTGAATCTTTTAATTAGGACAAATTATGCTAATATTACTCTAAAACCCTGTCTGAGAGATGACACACTACAGTGGGAATTCCTTTAAATACCGGTGAACAGGTCATAGACAAAATGCCACAGGCAAAGCATGTTGTGGTAAAGTGCAGCCTCAATGCTGCATAATTCACGCACTCACACATATGTCAAGATAGTTTCCAGTGCGCACATTTGTTTCCCTAGAAGCTGCCTACACTTTAAAAAAAAAAAAAAGGCAAGAGGGAAGACTCTCCAAACCTTAGATGATATACCAGGAATCTTGGAAAATGGATAAGGAGAATGAATTATGTGTTTTCCTTTGATGCAAAAACACCGCAAAGCCTAACCACATAAAATGCACACTAATGACGGAAAGTGTAGGCCACATCATGTAGGGAAGTATGATCAGGGACATACCACCTGCAGTCGGGTCTCAGCCCTGCCTGCGGTCTCAGTTTCCAAATCTGTCAAGTAGGAATGAACATCTACCACTCCCTGCACCAAAGAAGGACACGAGATGCTGTGGGTGAGACAGCTGATCAAGGATAAAGTGCTCCATGGGTGGAAGGCGGGCCAGGCATCGTCGACAGGGTGGCCGACCTCAGAGCGGAGCTCGGAGAGCTCAGGGCGTCACGTCCAGCCCCTGGTTTACAACCGAGGACCGCGAGGTGGCCGCAGGTCCATGGGGCTGTGCCCTCTCTTACCACTGCTGATGGCTGAGTTTGCAATGACCGTAGCCTCACTCCACTGGTCGGCACTGGAGACAGAGTAGGACCGTTGCTGCATGCCGTCCGGTCGGCTGTTGAAGGAGCCCAGGCTGACGCCGCTCGCCATCTGAGACCCAGGCGCACTAGTGACATTCCCTAGGAATAAACAAGTCAGGTGAACACCAGCGCGCACTGCACACCCGAACCGGCACGAGTTAGTCTAGGGGCTTACGCGCCTGCACACCGTGGACCTGACACCGAGAGCAGCTGGCGTCCCGATACAGGGCAAGTGGCAGCATCACATGAAACAATGTTCCAGAGGAAAACAGGGTGAAGCAGGTCTTATGGTGCTTGACAAAGGAACCCGATGCTTCCGATGGCTACACCCACCACAATCCAAGACAAAGATGCACACCACCACCGCCGCCATCTCTAGATGGAGTAGCGGTGAAGACAAAAGACCCACTTTTGGGAAAAGCGGTATTCCTGGCAGGCCAGCGAGCCGGGCACTGAAGGAGCCCTGCTGCATCCACACATCAATGGAAATGAAATGATCACCAGTCGGGGGTCAACTGTCTGATGCCAGAGGATTACTTTCGCAGGGAAGCTATACTTGCCAGACGCGACATCGGTGGAAACGCAGACTCTTAAACCAGGTAAGTTTACTCTTAACCTTGAGAAGACCACACAGAGGAAAAATAACCTTAGCAACTTCACAGCCTGCACACAGACTGCGATGAAAAATGGTTCCATTGTATACTTAATGATTTGAATCAGTTGCTCAACATCAAAATGAATTATGATCTATCTGGTCACACCAATTTTAGACTCAAAAACATAATTAAGTGCCTTTCTCTAAAGCTCAGCCAATCACACCTTGCTGCCAGTGAGTTCGTTTGTTAGATCTGTAGGCAGATCTTCAAAGGTATTAGGTTTCTTTTTTTAAACGTTCCTCCCATTGTTTTAGTTTGGAACCAATTAAGTTCAAAATTGCTTTCATAGAAGGTTTTCATAGCACAGGATTTTAAATACACAGACCGTATTAGTGGTTCCCAAATCTGGCCAATTACCAGAATTACCCGTGGAGCTTTTTAAAAATAGAGGCTTCAAGAAATTCAAATTTCGATTCAGGAGGTCAGGGGATAGAGCTTGAGGGGATACGCATTTTCAAAAGGACTTCGGTGATGCCGGTGAGCAGCCAGAGGTAGGAACCAGGGCTCCACCACAAACAAGGTCCTCATTGTAATCGCACAGAGCGTCCGGAAGTGACAAAATCATCAATAAAACACAGACGTGAGCAAATAGGACAAACAAGCGGTTAGTGAACAGGAAGGATTTTGCTTTGAAAAATATATTTCTACCTTAACAAATGATGCTGGGCTTCCCTGGTGGCGCAGTGGTTGAGAGTCCGCCTGCCGATGCAGGGGACACGGGTTCGTGCCCCGGTCCGGGAAGATCCCACGTGCCGCGGAGCGGCTGGGCCCGTGAGCCATGGCCGCTGAGCCTGCGCGTCCGGAGCCTGCGCTCCGCAGCGGGAGGGGCCACGACAGTGAGAGGCCCGCGTACCGCAAAAAACAAACAAAAAAAACCAAAAAAATGATGCAGATTTTATGCTGTTGTGGGAATTGGGTACATTTTGAATGTCGTAAAAGTAAGTATTCCTAGGCAGGTTTACCGGATTCCAGAAAAAAAGCCAAAAGTACCACCTAAGAAAGGAAGAATGGGAACCCATATATCTTCCCAAGTGCGGGCCTCATAGCAGAAGCAGCTGCACCGCCTGGGAGCGTCTTTGAAATGCAGGCTCCCTGGCCTCACGGCCACCCCTGCTTTTTTTTTTTTTTTTTTTGCGGCCTCTCCCGCTGTGGAGCACAGGCTCCGGACGCGCAGGCTCAGCGGCCATGGCTCACGGGCCCAGCCGCTCCGCGGCATGTGGGATCTTCCCGGACCGGGGCACGACCCCGTGTCCCCTGCATCGGCAGGCGGACTCTCAACCACTGCGCCACCAGGGAAGCCCGCCCCTGCTTTTTAATAAGAGCCCCAGGTGACATGTGCACACGTAAAAATATGAGTGGGCCTGCAGGAGAGCTCCGATTGATTTAAAAACCAAACACTTAAACCAGAAAATAACCATGGACACGAAACAAAAACTACAACGAAAGCTCTTCCCTGCCGCGGACCACTGAGATCAAAGATGCTCCCGGGAAGTGCACCCGCCCTGGCTCCTCGGCTGAGCTGCAGAGGGTCTTGAGCCAGTTTCCCATCTCCCTCCCAACTCTGATGTTCTGATTTTAGGACCTGTCCGAGCCCTAAAAACGCGGAAACTTGTGCATCCTGAATGGCAGCGTCAGTCAGAGCTGGCGCCCGCTCCAGCACCGGTCCTCAGCAGCCTGAGTAGCCGGGCCAGGTGCGTAGCGTCTCACAGGTACAGAGTAGCCAAGGCTCAGAGAGGCAGCACTAAGGGACACACCACACACTCCTCCGGGTTTTCTCCACGTGTCATCCATCATTTAGGGCGCCCTGCAGCTGTCTTCTGGGCGCACTTCTCCTCGGCCAGATCCCTGTACAATAGGGCACTGTAACAGCCGGACAGCATGCCCAGCAGCTGACCAGGCTTACCGGTCGGGCAGCATGGCAGGGTCTCCTCCTGACCCTGTGCTGACACCCGCGTCTGCCACCACCTTCTCCCCACCCCTTCTATGCCCTGCTCCCTTCTGAGGAGGGTACCTGTTGGGTTACCTCTGGCTCCCAGCTGGGCTGAACGAGGGGGAAGCACAGGAGTGTGGAGTGGGGATGTGCATCCCTGGCCCCGGCGCCCTGGGCCACCTGTCCCTTCGCTGGAGGCTCGCCTGGGCCACCCCCGCCTTCCTTTCCCTTCGGGTCCATGGTGGTCCTGGTGCCACTCTGCCAGCCCTGGTGCCGGTACTACCTCTCGGCTTCTCTCTGCCCACACCTCTGTCCCTTTGCAAAGAAACCCTTCTGAGCAGGAGGGTGTGGGCCTCTGCCTTCCCTTCCCTGTGGGGACCTTGGTCCTGCACGCCCACCATTTAAGAGGGGTTCACAACTCCTTCTGAGGCTCTGAGGCCCCTTCCACTTTCACCACATGAATTCATAAAAACGCTAACGTTAAGGGACTTCCCTGGTGGCACAGGGGTTAAGAATCCACCTGCCAATGCAGGGGACACGGGTTCAAGCCTTGGTCCGGGAAGATCCCACATGCCGCGGAGAAACTAAGCCTGTGCGCCATAACTACTGAGCCCGTGCGCCTAGAGCCCGTGAGCCACAACTACTGAGCCCGCGCGCCTAGAGCCCGTGCTCTGCAACAAGAGAAGCCACTGCAATGAGAAGCACACATACCTCAAGGAAGAGTAGCCCCCGCTCGCCGCAACTAGAGAAAGCCCGCGCGCAGCAACAGAGACCCAATGCAGCCAAAAATGAGGAAGTAAATAAATAAATAGATAAAAACTAATTGTATAAAAAAAGAGCTTTATTTAAAATAAAAAGCTAACATTTTTATGGTGGGTGGAAGGAAAAGGAAGTGATGGAAAGAGAATAGGAGAGGAAGCACAATGAGAAGCCGCATGTGGGCTGCGACGCCACTCTGAGCCGGGCCCCCTGAGCCCGTGCTGCCCACGGGGACACCTCCTGCTTGGTGCGCATGTCAGGGGGATGATTCCTTCCTCCCTTCAGCGCTCATCTGTACCCCTGACAAGTCATTATCAAGGGTGGGATTTGTCCACAAAACCTCATTTCATACCACCTGTAGGCACACAAGGCCAAAACACCTGAAAAACCAAAAATAAATTCACCATCCATCCATCTTTGGGCAGATGAGTCCAGCAGTGCCCCTTTCCTTGTTCACTCTGTCTGGGGTGTGGCTCCGAGGACGATCAGCCCCAGACCCTCCTGACATACTCCAGTCAAAAGGTGGAGAGAATTATCTTAGTGCGTCTAGCACTGACTACTTGGTGCCAAAGACCAGGAATAAGTAGCCACAGGCACTCAGGACAGCCAAGTCCATCTGAGCTCTGGGTCAGGGACGCAGGAAACATTCAGAGACATCGGATAAAGAGGTAGCCTTAGGATGACAGGTTCTTCATCTTAAGGCCAAACGTCTACCAGG